CTTGTGGTACTTCTTCTGGTTCTTGGGCATTTTCTGATGAATTGTACTGTAATATTTTATTCTTCAGTGTTTTGCTGATGAATTGTCTTTGGTACTTCTTCTGGTCCTTCGGCTCTTTAGATAAATTGTCTTGTAGTATTTATTTTGGTCTTCGGCAATTTACTGGTGAATTGTTTTGTGGTATTTCTTCTAGTTCTTTGGCATTTTACTGATAAATTGTCTTGTAGAATTTCTTCTGATCCTTTGGCGTTTGTTGGTGAATTGCTTTGTGGTATTTCTTCTGATCTTTTGGCGTTTTCTGGTAAGTTGTTTTATAATATTTCTTTTGGTCTTTTAGCATTTGCTGGTGGATTGTCTTGTAGTATTTTTTTTGGTCCTTTGGCATTTTACTGATGAATTGTCTTGTAGTTGCTTCTTTGGGTAGTTTTATACTACCTTTTTTTTCTTTTAGAAGTTCTTTTCCAGCAATTGTCTTGTGGTACTTCTGTGATATTTCGTTCTTCAGCATTTTGCTGGTGAATTGTCTTTGGTACTTCTTCTGATCCTTCAGCATCCTCAGATAAATTGTCTTGTGATATTTCTTCTGGTCTTCAGCAATTTATTGGTAAATTGTTTTATATTTCTTCTGGTCCTTCAGTATTTTACTAGTGAATTGTCTTGTGGAATTTCTTCTGATCCTTTAGCATTTTGTTGGTGAATTGCCTTGTAGTATTTCTTCTGATCCTTTAGTGTTTTCTGATAAGTTGTTTTGTGGTATTTCTTCTGGTTCTTTGGCGATTGCTAGTGAATTGTCTTGTAGTATTTTTTTTGGTCCTTTGGCATTTTACTAGTAAATTGTCTTGTAGTTGCTTCTTTAGGTAGTTTTATACTACTCTTTTTTTCTTTTTAGAAGTTCTCTTTCAGCAATTGTCTTGTAGTACTTCTTCTGATCCTTCGGCATTTTCTGATAAATTGTACTATGATATTTCATTCTTCGGTGTTTTGCTAGTAAATTGTCTTTAGTACTTCTTCTTGTCCTTTGGCATTCTCAGGTAAATTGTCTTGTGGTATTTCTTCTGGTCTTTGACAATATGCTGGTGAATTGTTTTGTAGTATTTCTTCTAGTCCTTCAGCATTTTACTGGTGAATTGTCTTGTGGTTGCTTCTTTGCGTAGTTTTATACTATCCTTTTTTTTCTTTTTTAGAATTTCTCTTCTAGCAATTGTCTTGTGATATTTCTTCTGGTTCTTCAGCATTTTCTGGTGAATTGTACTGTGATATTTCTTTTGTTCTTTAGCGTTTTGCTAGTAAATTGTCTTTGGTACTTCTTCTGGTCCTTCGGTGTTCTCAGGTGAATTGCCTTGTGGTATTTCTTCTGGTCTTTAGCATTTTTCTGGTGAATTGCCTTGTGGTATTTCTTCTGGTTTTCAGCATTTTACTGGTGAATTGTCTTGTGATATTTCTTCTGGTCCTTTGACATTTTCTGATGAATTGCATTGTGGTATTTCTTTTGTTATTTAGCCTTTTGCTGGTGAATTGTCTTTGGTACTTCTTCTGGTCCTTTGGTGTTTTCTGATAAGTTGTTTTGTGATATTTCTTTTGGTCTTTCGATACTTTACTGGCGAATTGTCTTGTGGTATTTCGTCTAGCTCTTTGGTATTTGCTGGTGAATTGTCTTATAGTTGCTTCTTTGGGTAGTTTTATACTACCTTTTTTTTTTCTCTTTTTTAGAATTTCTCTTCCGACAATTGTTTTGTGGTATTTCTTCTGGTTCTTTGCCATTTTCTGGTGAAATGTACTATGATATCTCTTTTGTTCTTTAGTGTTTTGCTGATGAATTGTTTTTGGTACTTCTTTTAGACCTTCAGCATTCTTAGATGAATTACCTTATGATATTTCTTCTGGTTTTCAGTATTTTGCTGGTGAATTGTCTTGTGGTATTTCTTTTGGACCTTTGGCATTTACTGGTGAATTGTCTTGTGGTTGCTTCTTTAAGTAGTTTTATATTATCCTTTTTTTTTCTTTTTTAGAATTTCTCTTTTAGCAATTGTCTTGTGGTACTTCTTCTGGTCCTTTAGCATTCTCAGGTGAATTGCCTTGTAATATTTCTTCTAGTCTTTAGCATTTTGTTGGTGAATTGTCTTATATTATTTCTTCTGGTCCTTCAACATTTTACTGGTAAATTGTCTTGTGGTTGCTTCTTTGGGTAGCTATACTACCCTTTTTTTTCTTTTTTTTAGTAGAATTTCTCTTCAGAATTGTGATATTTCTTCTGGTCCTTCAGTATCTTCTGTAAATTGTATTATGGTATTATTTGGCCTTTTGCTGATGAATTATCTTTGGTACTTCTTCTGGTTCTTCAGTGTTTTCTGGTAAGTTGTTTTGTGATATTTCTTCTGGTCCGATGCTTTACTAGCAAATTGTCTTGTAGTATTTCTTCTAGTCCTTTAGCATTTGCTAATAAATGTCTTGTGGTATTTCTTCTGATCCTTTAACATTTTCTGGTGAATTGTTCTATGGTATTTCTTCTGGTTCTTTGGTGTTTTCTAGTGAATTATTCTATGATATTTCTTCTGATTCTCTGGTGAATTGTCCCATAGTATTTCTTCTGGTCCTTCAGCATTTTCTGGTGAACTGTATTATATGTTTTGCTGATAAACTGTCTTGTAGTATTTCTTTTGATCTTTGGCATTTTGCTGATGAATTGTCTTGTAGTATTTTTTTTTAATCTTCAGTGTTCTCTGATGTATTGTTTTGGTATTTCTTTTGGGCCTCTGGTGTTCTTTGTTAAATTGTCATATGATATTTCTTCTGGTACTTTGATGCTTTGCTAGTGAATTGTCTTGTAATATTTCTTTTGGTCTTTCAATGCTTTGCTAGTCTATGTATTTTTGGTCTTTGATAGTTTTGTTGGTGAATTGTCTTGTGGTACTTCACAAAACAATTCTCCACCAAAATGCCGAAGGTATGGTCTGTTGGTAGTTTGAGAGAATTGTTTTGTAGTATTTTTTACTGCTTCATTGAGCTTGGAACAGTTCTCTATTAATTTTTTTGTTGAGTTTAAAAGTAGTTTTTTTAGTATATACTTGTAATAAACTCTAAATTTTACTTCAGAATAATAAAAAATATATAAAATATATATAAATTTGTACATATTATTAATTTTGGTTGATTATTTATAAGTCGTTATAAAATTATTTTTTTTAAAGAATTTTACTACCGTATTACTGCGGAATAGCGCACATGGGCGTTATTTCGAGGTTCGGCCTGAATTAAGCTTAATTTAGGCCAAAATTTGTAATTTCACCCCTGCGCGTTATTTCGCGATAATACAGTAATTATAACTGGCAGTGATCATCACCAGTGCATAATTAGCAAATAAAATTGCAGGATTAGGTGTAATATGCAAATCAATTTGTGTAACCAAAATAAAGATTTTTTTTAAAAAAATGCTAATATCTCAAGAATTCGCCTATGAAACTATCTTCGACGTTCTAACAAAAAAATTCTTCGCAAATTTCACATTACTCTAACCCTAAAGTAAATGAAATAAAATATTTTTTTAGTTTATTGTTATTTGTTAATTATATACCGGTGATGATCACCGCCGGTTAATTTAAGTAAAAACCTTTTTTAAATTATATTTTGTAATATTTCGAAAGTTATTACAAAATTTTATTAAAGTTATTACAAAATATTACAAAAGTTATTATAGAATATTACAAAATATATTTCGAAATATTACGAAATATATTTCATAATTTTCCATAATATATTTCATAATCTTCTAAAATAACTTCTGTAATATTCTGCATTGATCGTAATTCTTACAGAATATTTCACAGCGTAATAACTTATATAATATTATACTTATATATTTTGCTAATGTATAACCTCATCTATAAAAAAAAAACTATGCAAGTAGAGACCCTAACTTTTTAAAGAGAACATTTAAAAAATTTAATTCTATGCGTCTTCATAATCTAGGTTTTTTTTTTAAAAAATTAAAATATTATTTTCCTATAACCCTATCTATAAAAAAAAACTATACAAGTACTCACACTAACCCTAACCTTTTAAAAGGAACATTTAAAAAAATTCAATTCTATATGTCTTCACAATCTAGATTTTTTTTTAAAAATTAAATATTATTTTTCTATAACTCCTATCTATAAAAAAGAACTATACTAGTACTTACCCTAATCCTAACCTTTAAAAAAGAAGACATTTGAAGAAATCTAAATTTTGTATATCTTGTCAATCTAAATTCAAAAATAAAGTTATTATATATAACCTTGCATTAACTTTAGTATAAAAATAAACTATAATAATGCTTACTTTAAATCTAACATAAAATTTTATATAGCTTGCATGATCTAGATTTAAAAAATAAGATAATTTTTTTATAACCACTTCTGTTAAAAAAAACATGCTGGTACTCAATCTAATTCTAACTTTCATAGAAGAAATCTAAATTCTATATAGCTTTCATGATTTAAATGCAAAAAAAAAATTTTGAAATAAGTTATTCTATATATAGCCTGTATACCCTTAATATAAAAAGAACTATATAATACTTACCCTAAACTAAAATAAATATTTTGAGTGACATTAAATTACTGCATAATTTAGGATGTTCTCAAGTATATTTTTCAATAAATTTGATAAAAAAATCTGCTTGGCCAATTAAACTATTTATCAAATTCATTAAAAGAATTGCTTGAGAATATCTTTAGTCTTACTTTATATGTCATTATTTATTTTAAGATTCAATTTAAGCATTAATGCATTATATCAATTTGAAATCATTACAATATTATACAAGAATATATGCTATGAAAAATATATACTGTATTACACTATTTGTTAGAGCAATTTTGCTTATCATATTTCTTGCTTTTACAAACACTGCACTGATGAAAAGTACAGGATAAAGTATGTTTATGTTTTATTAGTTTTTTAATTGCTGATTTTATTTGCTTTTTGGAGAAGCACCCTTTCCCAATATATTTAAGTGAATTCTAAACATCTAGTTGTGTAATTTGGATATCTTGATTATTCTTTGTATTTTGATTGCTTTCTGTATTCTGATAACTCTTTATATTTTGATCACTTTCTATAATTTGGTCATTATCTGGTTCTTGTTCTATAGTTCGTTTGTTGCATCATGCTTTCTCATGAGTGTGTATCTATTTGTTAAATGTTTTCATTAAAACATTTGAATTATTTAAATTATTATAATTAACCAATTTCACATATTTACGAGCAAGTCCAAGTAATGTTCCTTTAATTAATTGTTTATAGCTAATTGCTTTCACTGCAGTTTGTACAGGAGGTTTAATAAATATAGTATTCTACAAATCAGCAATATCTGAAAAAAAAGGTAAGGATAGTGTTAAATTGTTCTTTTCTAATAACTTTCCTTTAACAAATAGCTCATCAACAACTATTGTGTTTATAAATTCATCTTTGTACTAATGTCTTAGAATAAGAGAAATATGAAAATAGGCTTTTTTAGACTGTAAAAGAACACAAAACCAATAGAAACAAACCACTTCACTATCAAATAATAAGATGCATGTACATAAATGAAATCTATTTTTTAATAACATTACATTCTGTTCAACATATGATTTATACTTAATTGATTGAACTTTTCAAACTTTAGCAACTAATAGATAATTAACTCCTTCAAGAAGTTTATCAAAACATATTTGATAAAAATCATATTCAAATTCAATCAGCCCATTATTAACAACCTCTAATGTTAAATTATCTAGACCTTCAAACTCAACTTTTTTACTACAATACATTAATATCTTATTTATCTGATCAATATGTAACTGCAAAATTTTAGATGTTACATATTTCTGCAAGATATTATATATATTCAGAAAAGTCAACTAGAGATACTTAGTATCATATATGCTGTTGTCTTTACATGCCAAGCTACAAACTAATCTTTAAACTGCTCTTTTGCAACATATGATTCAATTTGGTTAAACAGTATGTGAAGCTGAGTTTTTTCATTTATAGTCTATTTAATTACACTGTGTATTGATTCAGATCATTGAGTAGATGTTATTTCTGCTATAAAAACCTGATCTGTAAATGCTTTTGCTCAGGTTATTTTACATAGATCAAGCTATCTAATTAGGTATTCAGTTAATTCAGGAAAATCAATCATAAGTTCTTTACAATATTTCTCAAATATTTCTTTATATTGTTACAAAGTAGATTTTTAGTATAGATTTTATTAAACATTATTTAGTTATTTTTAGTTATTATTATTCAAAATATTTGCATTTTTATATAGTTAAAATATTAGATATATTTATTATATTATTATATATTAGTTTTATATATATTTAGATAGAATATTATATAGCATTAATATAAAAACATTTTGATTGGCTATTGGAAGTGTGGCACAGTCACATGACCTCACATGACCTCAGATGATACAAGGTTCCACAAGAAAGTCCTTTGGGTTACACAAAGAAGTAATACAAGAAAGTAACACAAGTTCACCCAAGTTCCCCTACACAAAGTCCTCCAAGTTCTCCCTACACAAACACAAGTGTTTTGGATACAAAATCCTCCAGGTTCTCCTTCCCCAAGTTCCTCTTCACAAACAATAAATAAATATAAACAAATTGAGTAATGTTTATATTTCCCCAACTTCTTCCAGTACAATCTCCCAACTTTCTTCAACACAATTTCCTAACTTCCCCTACTAATGTTACTCATCCCCCAATATCCCCTTACACACTGTATATCTTTTCTTTGGGACAGAAAAGATATATAAAGGGTGTTTTTTCCTCTCTCTGCCAATTCTATAAGTTTCTATACTTTACCTAGACTCTGTTCTCTCTATACTCTTCTTGTAAATGTGATATTCTCCCTCTAGGGTAATTTCTACAGGCAAGGTTTATCTGTGTTTTTACATGAAATAAAGTTATTCTATATACTGTTACTATCTCGAACTGTTTGCCTCCTGCTGTGTAGTTAAGTGAACAACTA